TGAAGCAAACACAGCTATTATTGTTACACTATAATTTTAAGTGTTAAATTAGTGGATATTTCTATAAAATAAGCTGCTTGTATTTTGTATATACATGTACAGTATCCAATCATTATTAATCATTATTATTAAGAGGGAATACTTGTGTATAAGTATACTGTATGTTCCAAATTTGTTCTAATTTCAAACAGAAGTTGCTCTTGAATTCCCTCACCTGTGTAAATGGTACATTAGTCTAGCGAGTGTCAGTTGGTTTTGCTCAGGCAGTCTGTATATCAGCTCTCTCAATCTCTTCAGTAATTCTCTAGCTTTCATTTCCTTGTCGTTAGTAGCAGCGCTTAAATCACAAGGCAGATACCTCGTAGCTTCCTAAAAGGGTGTGGTCAGTAAAGTGGGTGTGGTTGTATTGGTTACCTTGGCAAATGAGAGAAACTCTTGATAGAGTGAGAATGTAAGAAGAGGCTCTGGAAGCTAAAATAAGAAAATAAAAATAATAATTTTACATAAACATAATTTTAGTGATATACAATGTTACATGTACATGTACACTGCAATTACCATATACATGTAGCGGGAAATTTTGGAGGGAATTAAATTTGGTGAATTTGGCGTTATTGACCATTTGCTAAAATAAAATCCACCATTTTGAGCCATTTGCCAAATTTAACTTCTTCCAAAATTTCCCACTATACAGTATATATGTACATACATATTTGTGACCATAATTGACAAAAGGGCCCTTATGGCGGATTTTAAAATTGATCGTTATAATGGAACATATGAACCTGTGAGTGCTTTGTTAGACAATCATTGTTTCTAAAAGTTTCATGGTAACTTTTTGCATGCTGTGGAGTAATTTTATGATAAATGGGGCTCAGGAAAATGGATTTCTTAGGCTAGAAAGACAAATTTCACTACCCGCCATAAGGTACCTTTTGTCAATTATGGTCACATTTAATTATTTACATGCACATGTATATGTATTTCTTACTTGTCTGAAGTATAGTTTAAGACAGGAGCTGATGAGGTGAGGTGGTAGGTCAGAGAGATCGACTCTCTCAGAACCAGCTTCAAACAACTGGCAGAGTTTCTCCATTTTACTCTTAGCACTCGATATACGGTAGAGTCCTTGAGTATTGAGACCTAATGAAAAATAAATAAATAAATAAATACTACATACATGTACATGTACATTAAACAACCAAACAGCTTAATGAATAATTTTTAAAATTACATATATTTTTTCAGTTATAAAAATAACTGTATATTAGGGTAATGCATGAATTTTAACATATCCACACAATTTTTATGCTATAATGTACGAAGATGTGATTTCTATAAACAATTAAGGCTTACCTCTCTCATCAATCTCATTGATACATTTTGTTACTATTATTGGTATGTGCCTTTTGGTTGCTTTTAGATGCTCAAGGAAATCAACACCAAAAGTATTCATCTTACGAGGCAATTTCTAGTAAAAAAAAAAACAAAAATGTAAGTACATATAATACATGTATATTAGTGGTACCTTAGTATCACAACGAATGGCTAGTGTAGAGGAACACTTTCTATGACAAGATAAACCACACTAGAGGAAGAGAAAAAATGAAAAAATATAAT